GCATCATCCGATACTTTGGAGACCCCCATGGATTCATATGCAGTTTTGAGTGCTCTATCCGATGGCGGTTTTGGATTTCAGTAATCAGCTTTTATTTTTTCCAAAACGAAAGTTTTTCAAAAAAAAAATCAAAAATAGCCCGTTCCGGATATATTTTATATCCCGATCAAAATACGCGATTTTTGATCGAATTTTTATGCAGTACCCCAAACGATGCATATAGCCGATCCCCATGAAATCTGAATCAGTTTTGAATCCTCTTTCAAATGGCATTGTCCGTTTTTTATTTGGTTGTTAAGCGGAGGCCAGAAAATTGATTGATTGATTATATAGACCGATCAGGCTATACAAATCATCCCGATTGGGATTTATAGCCCAATCGGGATAATCGTATAGGCCGTTCGGGATATAAGTCATGACTCCGCACTGCCTTTTGTGAGGTGAATATGATATTATTTTTCGTTGACTGTAGAAATAAAAGTATTTCTTTTTTTTCCATTTGTAGTCAAATTTTGTCAGTAAACAAGACGATTTTATCAAAGCTGGTAGTTATTCCCTGAATGCCTTGCATAAAGTATATAATCATTTAATGAAGACTATCTTGACATCTTCATCTGCGGTTTTCTACATACTTTAGATTCGTTTTAATCCTAATCTTGGTTCTCTTACATGGTGTGCAGCGGGTGGTGAATCTGGTCTTCTTATACTATTACCGTTGACGCGTGCTTGTGCGACAATTGCAGATCTACATTACAAAGAAGAAAACAAACATTAATTGTGATAATTAATTTTATCTTGTTGTTGTAAATTTGTTTTATGTCCTTGTTATAAAGATATTTTTCTACTATTTTATCAGTTTTGTTTCTTTAATAAAGGAACTCTAATGACGATTAAGTGCAATTCTAATTATAAAGGAAAATCTCACTAGAGATTGTGGATGAAGCTTTTATCGAGCATGTTTTTCAGCTATATCAGTCCATATTAGAACGATGCATAATTCTAAGTTTATTTGGTTTTGTAATTCACATTTCAAGCTATTTTTTTCTATCAGAGACCGAAACGAACCAGTCCAGTTTGACTCGAATCCTAAAATTTTGAAAGGTTTCATTGGTTCTATCTAACCCGAAAAGGCTTTTTGACGACAGAGAAACCGCCCAACATAACCCATTTCGGTCTCTGTTTCCTATTGCGAACGAATTTATACATCCATATTAGATATTAAATTAGAAAGCAATTATGCTGCGCACAAGTTGCGATGTCCATAGACTCCGTGTCTGCAAAGGGGGAAAAAGAGCACTAGTGCTGAAAAAAGTGTCGAAAAGTGGTGAACGCTATAAGGTAGCCAAGAGTCAGAGTTTGTTCTTAATATTCAAGATGGTGGAAGATCAGATGTTCGAATCTACCCTAAATCACTTTTTTTTTCAAAGGTGAAGTCCGCATAAGAACGGAAATCGGCCCACTAACAATAACCGCTCCAATCGGTCCAAACCTCATCAGAATCACATCCGATTATGATATTCGATGATTTCGACCCTTCCGGGCGCTTTCAGTCGAATATACCCGAAAGAATCCACTCGAAAAGGAGCGATGATTTAGCACCCACAGTATGATTGTAAAATCAACATTTCTCAGTAACTATCCTATATTAAGCCTAGCGCAATACATCATTCGACGCGCCATGAAAAGCTCTACAATATGTGTTAATAAGAAGCTTAACGAAGTGGGGCAGCATGTTTTATAAATTTAATACTAGACTTTTCCATC